TTCTTGCTCGATCTGCATATTCATTTAAAATTACCTGTTATTTCTTACTGCAATCAACGAATCATTGGATTTGTTATATGTACTATTTAATCTGGTATGATATTTAAAATCGGTGTAGCTACCACTGCATATACAGTATCCATACTGCAAATTCGGTATCCAATCTGCATATACGGTATTTAGTGTGTAAATCTGGTATTTGATATTGAAACAATTATCCTACATAAACAACTCACAAATGTAGTAGGAATTTGCTATTTCAAGTGTTTTTTATTGTTGTTCTTAACAGATTTTGTTGACATCTTAATTGGTTGGACCCATCAGGTCTACAAATCCCGCATCATCTTCTCTCCTAGCGTGTGTTACATTTGCACTTGGAAAGCACATGTTAGACGCGCACAAGATTGGAGCCTTTCCAAATACAAGAAGGGCAGGAAGGATGCGATTGTATGTGCTCGACACCCAAGTCAGTTAAAAAGACAGTAAAATATATATTTGAGTGCGGTATGACACTTGGAGAAGACTAATTTTGGAGTCGGGTTTATATTTAGAGAGGATACCAAAATGTTGATGACCATATAACGACACCAAGTATGACTATTTATAAGCAAGAGAATTAATGGAGGCTCTCTCAATGCTAGACACATGAACTCATCCCAACGGCTCACTGGTCAAGTTCCATCACGCCATAATGTCGTGTCCTAAGCATCAAAGTATGTCTACACTCAACCTCCATTGCAGGTAATACCACATCACTTGACTTCGTAAGTTAGAACCGTGGTTTATACAGATTGAGATCGACCTCTACCGATACCTTTGTTATGTTGTTAAGCATTAAGACTACAGAAATCACTTCAGAGAAGGAAAGTGACAACCTGCTTCAAGTTATTTAGCCTCAGAGGCTATGTCAACTAGGCGTTTTGATGTTCTTCATTGCCATGAAGATAGGGTATTACCTCAGAGAGCACTTAGGTGACATTCTAGCTTAGCTGATGGTAGGCAGATGCGTCCTAGGTTTCAAATAATGTTTGTACTCAACCACCGTTGTAGGTAACTTCACATCATTCTCTTCTCATATGGCTCGATAAGTCAGAACCACAGTTTACACAAAGGATGGAGTTGGCCCCACTGCTTCTATCATGGAGACCGTTGATATGCCGTTAAGCATTGAGAATCTAGACATCGACTGTGAGAAGGAAGTGACTGTGGGATTCTATCTTAACTAGCGGTCACGTGACTTGTCGTCCATACATATTAGAATAGATAATGCTGAAGTCATGGAAAGAGCTGACTCCCCCCATGAAGAATAATGTATGGAGGAGATTAGAGTTTCGGAAATTAAAGGGAAGATATTATCAATTGAAAGCCACTCAATCAAGTCTAAATGGCACTCAAGTTTTAAGCACATGTCTCCCTCCAATAATCTCTACATAAAACAACGAGAAAGCTGATCCATATCCAAATTAAGGCTACAAGACAAAATAGGATGATTGGTTATAGAACAAAATTAATCAATAAATAAAAAAAATTAAAATCTTATTATCTCTTCTAATGTGTCTGAAAACAAAAATTCATGACAATTCAAACACTCGTGTGAACAACGCATGTTAAGTGTAAAATTCACATTTGTTATATGTAAAAACTCATTAAATATACATATATATATATATAAAGTGTCTATTTAACGGAATTTGTTGGTTTAACGGAAAAACTAACGGAATTTGTTATTTTAACGGATTATGTAACGGAATTTCTTGTTTTAAACAGGCAGCTGCACTTTCTTTCGGTGTTTTTATCATAACTTTGTATTCCGATATTCGATTGAGGCGATTAAAAATGCATTGGAAAGTTAACCCATCTGGCTACAACTTTGATTTAGACATCATTCTTCAATTCGATCACTTTCTATGCCAAAAATATGTCTCAATATAACGGACTATGTAACGGAATTTTTTGTTTAAACAGGCAGCTGCACATTCTTTCAGTATTTTTATCATAACTTTGTATTTCGAT